TTTAAGATAAGTAATCATATAAATACATAAAAAATTTAAAGTTATTATAATTTTTGAAATCAGATTCCAAAACTGATAATTTTTTTTAATTAAGTATTTATATAACTTCGTTTCTACTTAATGAAATTATTAGAATTGCATTTATTTGTTTATGTATCTAAAATAATATATATTTATTTTTTAAATTTAAATTTCCGTGGTTCAACTTAAAAATTCACTTTGCCTGCTCTGAAATGGTACGTTTCTGTAGCATCAACCATACGATTAGTTGCATTTGTAAGTTAGATGATATTTTAGTACATTACATTAAATGCTGTTTCATCATTAAAGCTGTGTCATATTCTTCATCTATGAACTTGATCATATGTGCCATTGCCTTAAATGCTTTTGTTTGAGCCAACAATTGTGTACTTTTTAATTGCACATGTACGATTATTTAAAAAATTCGAAGCCCTAAATTGTAGAAGCCTATTTTCCCTATATTGTAGAAGCCTATTTTTTGAAGACGATCAACTTCATGTATTATGACTTTAAATTAAAAAATAACTATGAATTCAATTTTTTGGTAAATAAACATATATATATATAATTTCATATATTCGAAAGATGTTATAGCCACATAATAGTAAATTTTATTACGGGTTATTAAAAATTCGTATTTATATTATTTTATACTTGTAGATATATATTATTTTACTGAATATTTAAAATTTTTAAACTCAGATGTTTAATATTTTTGAGATATCTAATAATGTACTTCCCAAAATAGAATATAAAGGGATTATGATTAAAATCTGATATTTAAATGTCAGATGTTTAATTTCATATTTATATACTTTTATACTTATATAAATGTAATATTTTAATCATTATTAAATTTTTTTGAAAACATATGTTCAGTATTTTTAAGGTAAGTAATAATATAATTTTGTATTTTGTATTTAAAACAGGGTTATTTAAATTTCAGTATTCTGTATTCCCAGTTCATTTTGCATATGTCATATGTATGTAGTTATATTTTCTGATCCCTGAAAATGTTAATTTATATATACGTTATTAAGTCATTCATACATACTGACCTAGACTTATTCACCCTCAATTATGCAGGTCCACTTGTCCCTGTTGAGTTTTAAAATCATGCAATAGAACATGTTAGGTGTCGGCCATAGCTTATGGAACCTTTAGAAAGGTTGCCAAATATGTAAAAGTTTTACTTGGTCTGTAATAATTCTTCACTTAAGTAGTTAGTTAAAATTAGGGAATGCAGGTGTTGTTGCCCAGGAAAATCTTTCAGGTATGTATATATAATCACTGAGCTTTCATCATTTCATTTTCTATTCATTATTTCAATATTTATTATTATTTATTTGAATTATAATTTTTCATTAGATGTACATTATCTTATAGGGACATAGTGTTGCCATTGCCTTATAGGTTTATATTGCCTTAGTGTAGATGTACATTTATTCAAGCAACAGAATGATAGTGATTAAGCTTCCCATCCTCTGTCTCCTTATTAAAACTCCCTTCCTTCAGTAGCCTTTAATGTTTTGTGCATAACTTCATATATAAGATGCCTCCGTTCTTGTAGTAGGTCTTCTTCCGTCCTCCATTCTCTAGTATACAATCTTAAATCAATAATCACCTGCAAAATAAAACGTAGTATTCCAGATACAACATAGTCATCTCAATGTTTCAGCTTATCATATTAAGCCTACCAACCATTACCAAGTACGTAGTACATATTATCAAAAATCAACATAAGCACAGGCTCAGTGACCAAAACTATTAAGCTCCGAGTTAGGAAGTTAAGCAAAAATTAGAGTTAATGGCAAATACTTTTTAACATGCATCTCTTAATAGTTTAAACAAAAACATAATTCATTGAATCCAATCAGCCCATAATCTGCTCCTTTATATTGGTTCTTTCTTGATTTTCGTCTTCAGCTTCTTGGTAGTGCTTGAAAACCCCCCCAGCAAGTTCCTTTTAAGTGTGTCACCTTCTTGTTCCAACCTTCCACTTTTTGTCTGTGTCGGAGTGACACCATCAACAGTATCCTGAAGCCACCATTCATGCGTATAGAAATAAGAATATTTCTCTTTCTTTGTAATGGGAATAGGCAACCTCAAAATCATTCCAAATAATGTACCTTTTCTAAATCAACAACATCAACGGATTTGGAGCGTGCTGTGCTTCCTGCTAAGTTGTTTCCTGATGATCCAGTCTGCATACAATTACATGATGAAAAAAAGTAATGTTTTTTATTCTTCAGGTAGACATCTTCTAACAAAATTCTCGGGTGATTTCTTTTTTTACGGGAGTGCCGCACATAGGTTGCCGAAATACGGGACTTTTTTTAGGGTTTCTAAAAAAACGGGAAACATGTTCCATGAATCCGAAATATGTAGGGTTTTAGGTGGGAAGTTAAAAAATGGATTAGATGAATCCGAAATATGTAGGGCTTTAGGTGGGAAGTTAAAAAACGGATTACATGAATCCGAAATTTGGTTTTAATTTTTTTGCAAACTGCTGGAAGATGCTGCGGAAGGTGTAGGGAAAGTAAAAAAATGAATTATTTAATTTTTTAATTTTTTTAATAGACTTCTTAGGTTTTTTAGATTGGTTAGTTACATTTTTTTCAAAGAGGAAAACACAAATATTTCAATAAAAATTTGTGAGTGGGATAAATAATAGAGCATATGAAGCATAATATGTACAAAAATAAATAATTTAGTGATATTTATAGTTGGAAAGATGTGTATTATTTTATTAAATAAGAAATAATCAATTGTTATGTTAGAGATTGTAATAGTGAATATACATATTTAATTATATTGTATTACGAATTTATTCAATGTTCCCGCAAAATTAAATAATATAAATATTTCATTACTCATTTATCTTGAACAACAACATGACAAAGAAATACAAATTTTTATTCATTGAAAAAGAGTTACAAAATACATATAAATTTTTACTCTTGTGCTCTCCTACTCGGACGCATATCCATTTCATTTGTAAATCGTGTTATTTGAGGCCTACCGGTTTGACTGCGTCGAGCACTTTGAGGCGGTATCACTACATATCCGGTATCAGGCATCACACTTACGTCATGCATAGGCATAATATCTGTAGCATACGTACGGATGTACGCACCTAATTTATACACGTCCGGGATGAGATGATCTACAGTTATTTCTAAGAAATTGCATGTTGCATAGGCGTGCACACATGGAAATCCATTTTGCTTCCAAAAACCGCAATCACATTCGCAACGTGAGAGATTTACCGTTACCGGCGGATAATCACGGATGGAAACAGAGTATATTCCCGTTGTTCGGTTATGCGGGACAATAGTGCACTGATGTCTTTTCTGTGAACGTTCAAGAATATCTTTCCATATATTTTGCGGATATAGGAACCCAGCTTGCCGCCACATCTGACCGGCCCTACGTCGATCGGCAAATAGTTGGACAACTTTGTTATAAGTTGCCTTAACCAGCGCAGTGATTGGAAGTGTTCGACATCCCTTTAGAACGTTATTGAAGCTCTCGGAAAGATTTGTTGTGAGGATGCCGTAACGTCGTCCATCGTCGAAGCACAGTGCCCAATTTTCACGTGGAATAGCGTTCAAATACGTGAACGCATTCTCATTCGTAGCACGAATTTGAGCCATTGTTTGGTAAAATTCACTCACCATGGGTGTACTCCCGGCCTGCCAACAGAGCTTTTTCAGTTCAGTGCTCCTGAATTTTGTCATGAAATTGCTTCTAATGTGTCGGATGCAGAACCGCTTCGAAACTTGGGAGGTTTTCAATTGAGGTACTGATTGATAGGCACTTAGGATGCCAGGGTGTCGATCTGATATTATGCACACATGCCGATTTGGTCTGACAACATAAGTCATAATGTGTTCCAAAAACCAAGACCAACTATTTGTGTTTTCACTTTCCACAACTGCGTACGCGAGAGGGAAAATCTCACGGTTAGCATTCATGGCGACTGCAACCAAGAGATGACCCTTGAACTTTCCGTACAAGTGAGTACCGTCAACAGATATTACGGGCAGACAGTGTTCAAACCCATCAATGGAAGCTTTAAAAGCCCAAAACGCACGATGAAATTCATACGTACCATCATGACTGGTTGGTTTTGGTTGGAAATCTACCACTGACCCTGGATTTGATTCTCTTATCGCAAGCAACAAATTGGGTAAATCATTGTAGGCCGCCTCCCAGTTCCCGAATCTTCGTTCAAGGGCAATCAAACGTCCATACCACGCCTTTTTGTACTTGACATTGATTCTGAATTCGTCGTATATGTCTTGCATCACGAGTTTAATGCTGTAGTCCGGATCAACATGCACTTTTGTAACGATTACACTAGCTATGATCTTGCTCGTCATAAGCCTGTCATTTCGGGCTCTTTTATAATCCACTCTGCAGTTGTGTAGTGGTTGATATTTTTTCACCTTCCACAAATTGGTGTTGAGAAGGTTTCCCGCCTGAATGTGCCACATACACGAAGTGACTCCCTGTCCCACAGCGTCGAGAATGTATATCCCGTCTCGGCCTATGTTCAATTGGCGGTTGTGTGCTTGGCCCTGCTTCTTGCCCCATCCCACTCTGTACATCTGATCCTAATAAGTTGTTCAACCAATCAATTGGTGAATTTAAAAAGGTGGGATGTGTCTCATATGTAGGCTGTACATGTGGAATAAACGATGGCGCATCAAACGTCGGAATGTATGCACTAGTCGGTGTAGAGTATTGATTAGGTACATGAGATGAGGAAGGGATGTGTGAATGAATATGTGAAGATGGTTGTCCTTCTTCTTCACCACCATCTTCGTCATCCTCTTCCTCCTCCTCATCATCATCATTATCATCATCGTGATTACCATCATCACCATCATCATTGTCGACGTGTGGAGCAACATAACCGCGTCCGTAACGCCGACCTCTAATGGCCGCGACTCTTCTACGGTCTTGCCGAAGTGGAGGATGATCATCCACTGCATCATCATGGGCATCCCCATAGAAAATGATGTCTTGATGAAGCACATTCTCGGCACCTAATCCTGTAAGGCATCGTGCAATTTGCTCGCGAATGTCTTCGACGTCAAATGGAGCTGCCATGCGCCGATAGATATCGCTCATACATTGCATCTAAAATTCAAAAGTAAAGTTATTAAATAATAATAAACATTTCTAAGTTGAATAATTACACATAAAATACTTACTAGTGTACTTGTCTCCCTGTTAGTAGTTACATAACCCGTTGTAGGTCGACCATGTAACGGATTGCAAATCCGTCGTTTCCCGACATTTGCGTACCATTCACGGTACGCAGGAGTGTAGGTGGGATGATCAACGAACTCAAATGCGATACGACGATTGTGCCTCACCGCCCATAGTATCAATGGCCATCCAGAATTTTTTGCACCACTTGCATGGTGGCTAGCTTGTGATTCCGCTGCGGGAGGAATATGTTGCATTGCACCGAATTGACGACAAAATCTACCGGGGTAGTACATCTCAGAAATGTCACAATATATAAGCATGACATTAGATGTCCACAAATCTACTCCCGCGACACAGAACCTGGGGAGGGCTTGTAATGCGTATGGGAGCCACACGAACTTGATCAATATTATTTGAAGTTAATTCAAAAACATATTTATTTTCCATTAAACTAAAATGATATTGTTAATTATAACCTCGTTCTCTCGGATCCCGTCCAACTGATCTCGATAAATACGTAGAGTATACCGAGAACTTTGTTCCCAATTGTGCCGACATGCCCACCTTCATAAAAATAAGTTATTATACCATGACCTACAAATATATTTAATATACTAATACTTATTATGTAAAATTTCAAATTATACCTGCACCCATAGGGCATATCCTGTAGATTCTCATATGGCAAAACGTTTCGCGGCCGCACCATGAGCAATCTCTCCCACGCCCAAATCTGCAATAGAAGCAAGCATCCCCCAATATTTCTCCTGTTCGCTTTGGCGGCCTTGCACATGTTGTAATACAGGAACCCCAATACTGCTGAGCCCCAACTCCACCGTCGTGCTTCACCGAGCGGTCCCTGCAACAACTCTAAAAAGTACAATTTTATTTTGTTCCCGATAGTGGAGGGGAACAATAACCCACCTAGTAGTTGCCAAATGAGCACCCTCGTGTATGTGATGAGTTCCTCATTTGTGCTGTGCTGATGTACCGGCCAACGCTGTAGGGCATTCATTCTTATTACAGATGTGTTTAAGTCGTTGTTGTTTGGCGTGAAACCGGCGAAGTCCGTGCACATTTGCATCCAAAGTGCTTTCGAGTTTGTCCTAGGTCCGGACAATGGTTCTCCGTCGATGGGCAACCCCAACAACACTTCTACGTCCTGTAAGGTGATGCCCACCTCACCAAAAGGCAAATGAAAAGCGTGTGTCTCTGGTCTCCATCGCTCAACCAACGCCGTAATAAGCGACCAGTCTAACTGCAACCTTCCGATGCAGTCGACGCCGTAAAAGCAGGAGGCCTTCAGCAACGCTACCACTCCTGGGTGACGCGGGCCGTCTTTGTACACCATTGAACAATATACATTACACCTCAACTTGTCATCCATGGATGTAGCATCATTCCAGACAAGGTCCGCTCGATGCGCGTAACGTGGCATCACCAGCACAAACCGATCAACCGGGTCCATAAGTGGTATTTGTGCAACCATTCGTATCTCAACTGACAATAAGAATCATATATTAGTGTTATATATGTGTGTGTATGTATATTATAATGACGTGTTTTATTAAATGAAATTATAAATTACACATAAACTTTCAATGAAACTATATCAGTCTTATGTATTACATTATAATATATGTACGGTTGATAATGAGCTTATCCACTGAACAATATTACCACCGTGCCAGAAACTAGAAAAGGACTAGTTCTAGACGAGCTTGTGAAAATTGTACCAGTATAGTGCAATTATATTATATGTTCCCATACAAATTTTAGACTTGCCACTGAGTAATATTCTCACTGTGCCAGAAACTAGAAAAGGACTAGTTCTAGACATAACATTTGCCAGAAACTAGAAAAGGTCTAGTTCTAGACGAGCTTGTGAAAATCGTACCAGTATAGTGCAATTATATTATATGTACCGATACAAATTTTAGACTTGTCACTGAGTAATATTCTCACTGTGCCAGAAACTAGAAAAGGACTAGTTCTAGACATAACATTTGCCAGAAACTAGAAAAGGACTAGTTCTAGACGAGCTTGTGAAAATCGTATCAGTATAGTGCAATTATATTATATGTACCGATACAAATTTTAGACTTGTCATTGAGTAATATTTTCACTGTGCCAGAAACTAGAAAAGGACTAGTTCTAGACATAACATTTGCCAGAAACTAGAAAAGGACTAGTCTAGACGAGCTTGTGAAAATTTTACCGGTATAGTGTAATTATAATTCATGTTCGCTTTTATGGCTCAATTATAATACATGTTACGGAGTATGAACTAAATTATATTACGTAGTATAATGTTATTTGGAAATAAGTAGTGATGACTAAATTAAAATGTTCAACTAACTAAACTAAATTTAAATTGTAATCGCAACGTAGTCTCAAATTACCATATACACTAATTTAGTACTCCCTCTGTCCTAGAAAATTCTTCACACTTTAAGTGTGGTTGTAGTTGTGTAAGAAAAATGTCAAATTAATGTGAACCACACAAATTGTCCAAAAATGGTAAGTGGGAAGAATTTTTTGGGACGGTCCAAAAAAAAACGTGGGAAGAATTTTATGGGACAGTGGGAGTATTTAATACATTAGTAACAAATATTAGTGAACCAATAATTAGAGTAATTGAAAAACAGTAAATGTGCTTACATTATCAACATAAATTAACTACTGTAAAGGAAACACTACAAATAATTATAAGTTGTGGGCTAATTATTTCTATTGTTATATATTTAGTATGACATATATCAACAATCTTAATAGCAATTAAGATTAATTACATATTAATATTAAGATTTTCGAAATATTCAGGCTGACATAACACAACCAGTACAAAAAATTAACGGTAAAGAGTAAATATATAATTAAAATTCTAACCTTTCTTTGAAAAACTCGGAGAATAGAATTAGCAAGAACACTCAATAGTTTTTTGTAACTAAATTTATTTTTATGGTAGTAGGCTGAATACGATGTTGAAGCGATTTAAATAGGTGAAGTTTGAGATTAGGAGTATGGATTTCCGTGCAAAACAATGGACAGTTGGGATGAGTTTGTTAAATCCTACGGTTGAAAAATGAGCTGAAGAAGCACGATCCGGGTAAACTTGGACTGGCCAATCCGGGAGCTTCATATTTCGGATTAGGGAAATCCGAATTTCTTTGCCACAGTACCACTGCTGACACACGGCTTACACTCCTGACATCCGATTTCTTTTTTTTTTTGGTTTTGAACATTTCGGATTCACCAAATCCGTTTTTCACCGAAAATAAAACTGATAGAGTATATAGACTCGGACCACCGGGTCTCACGACTATTGGGCCCGGACAGCGGCCCACACACATCTTACGGATATCATTTGTATTATCGTACTGTTTATATGTCGTTTGTATGTAACTATGTACTAGATTAGTCTTTTATGTAGTTGGGCTACCGGGCCCATATCAGCGGCCCGACCCATTATTTCCCTATTTATACTCCTCTTGGAGCCATTTGTAACCCTAGAATACCACTATTCATCTTCTTCTCAACATTATTAAGCTCAATCTCTCCATTTATCATATACTTTGGATACCCTATAATCCATCAAAAACCCAAAGTCGGATTAGGAGAATCCGAAAAAAGGGATGCTGACAGCTCTGCAAACCCTAAGAAAAGTCGGATTAGCCAACTTCGTTTCCCGTAAATTGGTACCCTAATTCTGACCATTCATATTTTGGGAATGGAGGCATCAAACTCCCGTAAATCCATCCTTTCCTCAAAATTCTCTAATCGATAGCTTACCTTCTCCACATTTGATGGTTCATCAAGCCCTTTAGCATCTGCCTTTGGAGTTGAAATGACACATGTTTAATGTTTGTTTGGTCTTTCGAAAAGTGAACATTCATGCGTTATTTTGTATATATGTTTTCTTTGAATAGTATATCCACGACACTGCATTACTCTAACTCGAATAAATTTAGCACTTATAAAACATTATAAAAAATATTAATCTTCTTGCTATGAAACTGTAACATTATTTAGTTCTATTATGTTAAGGAGTGTTTTATATTTACAAAGTCACTGTGCTCTATCTACTATCACACAATAACCATCTATTATGATTTGTTTCTCTCTTCAGGTGAATATACTGACACATACAAGTAAAGTGAAATATACTACAAAGCAAAGAGCCCAGTTGGAAAAATTAAAGAAGGAACATGAAGAAGAAAAAGACTTGAAAGTGCTTTTCGGTAGTGGAAATGATGCATCAGAATGCATGGATTTTCCTGGGGGTACAACTTCCTCGATTCCAAATTCCAGCCCTGACCGAACAACCTCTGGATGTTGCACACAGCGGCGCTGTGTGGGATATATTTCTCCGGGAGGATGTGACTAAGTTAACACAATACTTACAGAAGCACTGGAAAGAGTTTCGTCACACAAAAAATGATCCTGTCAATTCTGTATGTATTTGTTATGGGTTACTATCAATTATGTTTCCAAGGCTACTTAGTTATTATAATACTCATTTTGTTTTCTTTAGGTCACTCATCCTATTCATGACCAGACATTTTATCTCAATGAGAAGCACAAGAAACAGCTGAAAGATGAATTCAGTATGATCATAAAGACCCCCCATCAATTTTTTTCCAAATAGTTTTATGAGGTATGAACTAACATGTGATTTTTTTTTATAACTCTGGTGTAGATGTTGAGCCTTGGACATGCATTTGAGCAATACCTTGGGGAGGCTGTTTTTATTCCTGCAGGATGCCCACATCAGAGGAGTTTCGCTTGCTTCCCAAATTGCACAGATCGAAGCAAGATATATTGATTTGTTAAGCTCTCATTGCTAAGCAATTATGCACATGCACTACATAAATTTGTAAAATTCTTAGCATAAGAACAGACTTGTTAGTGAAACTGATCATCTTAAAAAATGTCCATAACAGACCTGCTCTTTTATTATGTTTGCATATGTTTATAGGTGACAAAATTGACGCTTTATGGCGCTATTGAAGAGGCGAGGAATCTCATGAAAAAACTTTCGTGAGTTTGTTTTTAGCGTTTCTAATAAAACACTTTTGTTACATTAATTCAGATTATTTCATATTTCATTAAATGTGATTTTGTTGCTCGATGGATTTCCGACATTGTAGTGGTGGGGTGGTTCAAGAGAAGAGAGTCATGGAGCCTATCTATAATCCTATCATGTCATCAGCCGCTAGGGTTTTTTGGAGTCTCCCTTGAGGATTTGTGTTGAGAATGTATATTTGTTTTCACATTTACATTCAGTCAAATGATTTGAGTTGCAGAATACTAGAATGCATTCGGTTTTGTCAATATATTAATTTTACATTGTTAGTGACTTGAGGTGTCAATACTATTACTATGTCGAGCTCTCACAGGTTAGTTTATATTAAGGTAGTGTTTTTTCTTTTAAAGCACCTAAAAGAACAACCTAGGGATGGACTTGGGCTGGGTTAACCGAATCGGAACCGGACTGGACCGGCCCGGACCGGCCCGGTCCACGGTTTTGTGACCGGTTCGGGCCACCCGGCCTGGCACTGTAGAGGGACGGTTCCTGGGCCTTGCATTTGATGAACCGGCCCGGCCGGTTTGAGCCATTTTTTTTGTTTTTCACATTTTTTAAAAGGTAAATGGGTTGGGCCGGGTGTTTTGGAGGGGTTTGGGGTGTGGTGGGGGGTGGTGGGGGGTAGAAAGTAATTAGAAAAAAAATAGGGTGAACCAGCCCGGCTCGGTAACCGCTTGGTGAACCGGCCCGATCTTGAACCGGAGCTACCTGGGCCGGTTTATTGGCCTCACTTCTCCAAAAAAAAAGCCCGGTCGGAACCGGACCGAGCCCCGTCCAGAACTGAGGCCATGCCTAGAACAACCTCTTAATTGAATTGGTTCAATAAACTTTGTGACACATTTAAAAAAGGATATCATACACAACAGCACAATGATGATCTTGCTTTATATAAGAGATCACATGTTTACCATTTAATCATCTTCATATTTCCTCCGTCTCAATTTGTAAGATACTTTAAGTTGACTGACGATAAAGAAAATTGATCCTTGTCAAGTGTCAACACTCAAATTAGTTTAGAAAATAAAATTTACATATTCAGAAACTACATTAAAACAACTACAAAATCTGCAAAAAATAATTCAAATTTCATAAAACTTTTGATGTATAAAGTACTAAAAGATTAAGAGTGATTTAAATTGATAAGTGAATAGTAAATATATCTTACAATTTGGGACTGAGGGAGTATATTTTAGAAGAAATGAACAATATAATACTATCCTCCGTTCCATAAAAGTTGCAACAATTTGACTTTCACGTTTGCCAACGCGCAACTTTGACTGTAATTATATTTATTTACGTATTAGTAAACATTAAAGAAAGTTAATATATTGGAAATTTACACTACTACAAATTTATTAATATTTTATACATAATATTTTTATTATATATATTATTAGAAAATCGTAGTCAAAGTAAGGTGTGTGAATAGTGAATAAATTCCAATGTTGCAACTTTTACGGAACGGAGGAAGTATATTAAGTGGCTTGTTGAACAATTTTTGGTCTGAATATTTAAGATGTGTGCTGATTTGAATCTGGACAATTTTTTAGGCTTCTTAAAACTACTTGCATTCATATAATGTCAAAAATTTAAACAAGAACTCCATCTATATGAAATCAGAGTATGAATTCCATTGTTATAGTTTTCCATGCATTCTAGCACTTCAATAAATTAAGTTCAACATAATCTTTTACATATTAATTTAGTAAAACATTAGTTAAATGATACGGAGTAATAAGCATTTTTTTTATCTCTGCATTATAGCTTCACACCAAATAAAGTTCTTTTCTTTTTTAAAATTTAATCTAACTTGTGAGAGAAGTTGTTTTGAACTACATATTGATTCCCTTTATCCCTTTACAGGAAAGTCACGTTATTCATTCATAACTTCTCATAGAAGCTACTTGTATTTATGTAAATACAAATTCAAAGACCCTAATTTTCATTTTAAAAGGTTAAACTGATAGGAGGAATGTCTTAGATCTTAATAGTGTTTAATTGTTTGAGAGATATGTGGCGTGAGATTTAATTGTATTATTTTAAGATCTTCGGATACTGCAATCAAGTTGATTCACTTTGACATTATGTAATGTATTTTAACTTCTGTAATATATTGAATTCGATCCTCTCCCTTATTTTTTAATAATAAAAAAGTTACCAGCTACAAATGTTGTGCTACCTCACAAAATGGCCCCACTACCAAAGTACCAAATAAAAAATGGGCTCATATATAAGAAAAATGCATAATTGTAATAGCCAAAATGCCTGAATATCAAGGTTTATTTTTATAAAATAAAGATTTGTAATGTATTTTAATATCAAAGTTGGCCTTATACAACTAAAATGCATTATTCTTTGAATATTAAAATGCATTGTAATGAACTAATGATCACAATATATATATAATTGAATATCATTTTTTTTGATAATCCAGGTGTCGGGTCTTACGCTCCCATAATCCTGGAGTCTATGAACTACCCTCCAAAGTCTCTAGACAGTTAAATCCGGATCTGATCACAGTCAGCCTCGTCAGTACTGGCTCCAAAGGACGAATCCAGCAATACTTACATAACCTTTCAGGCTACTTCTCCCACCACACGAACCCGCTACCTTCATTACCATCATCTCCCTTCTCAGGCGCTGAGCAACTCCGTGAAGGTAGGAATAATAATTGGGAGCAAGACCTCTCTCATCTCCCCTTGGTGTGAATTGAACCCAAGACCTCCCACAAAGGAGAGACTTGGGGGTAGGGATGGACTCGGTTTGGGCCGCCCGGCCCGGAACCGGACCTGCCCGGTAGTTTTTAGAACCGGCCCGGCCCGGGAAACCGGTTCCGATTATGGTTCAGGCCTAGGCCCGAGGGGTTAGGCGGTTCCGGGCCTGGGTCAAGGAAAAGGCGAACCGGCCGGGCCGGGCCCGGTTCAGGCCTTTATTTATTTATTTTTTGTTTTTTTTGGGTTTAGGCTGGGTTTAGTTGGGTTGGGCTGGGTATTTCCGAGAGGTTTGGGGGGATGGGGTGGGGGTGGGGGTGAAATAAATAAGAAATCAAAGAAAAACAATTGAACCGGAACCGGCCCGGCCCGGAACCGCCGCGTGTCTGGGTCGGTTCCGGTTCACCCATTCCCAAAAAAAGGCCTGGCCGGGCCCAGGCCCGAACCGGAACCGGCCCGGCCCAGGTCCATCCCTACTTGGGGTGGATGGTCATCCATTGGACTACACCCACCAACCCTATATAATTGAATATCAAAATGCATCAAACTACTCCGTATATGATTATATCATAAATCGAAATATGTTTTACTGATTTTAGTTTAATTTGGGAGATAAAGGGTTATGAATCTATTGTTTGGAAAACCTTTTCTCAATTGTTGAAGATTCCAAGTTGAACGACCGACCGTTTGTTTTTAGATTTTCTCAAGAACTTTAAATAGGGAATAAGGTAATATATTATACTTCAATTCTTGGAAAATTATTCTAAATAGGACTAAAAACATTTGTATATTCCAAAATAGGACTATCATGTTTTTGTTACTGATGGAGTTTAATCCAACAACAAGAGCTAAATCTACGGAAGCAGATGATAATTTGGCAGCGTAAGACAGTGTTTTATTGATCAAGGTCTCTCCCCCTTTTGGAGGTTTACAAGTTGTATTTATAAGCTAAGGAACTAGTGTTACAAAAGGAAACTGATACAATAAATGCTATTAATGATGCATTAGCTCAAATAGGACTCTTGTAACGTCTCAGCTGTTGTGCAATGATTATTCCTTTATCCCACGTTCCAGCCGTTTAACTTCTGCCAGCTGCCATTTCCACTGATAGCGTGCCACGTCAGCCCTAGGGATATCCCAGCCTCACTAGAACTCCGCCCAGGCTCGAGGCATGCTTTCCAGCCTGGCCTGGCTGTGGGTTCTTCTCGCGGGCTTGGTTCCTAGTTATGCCCAGTGGTTATCTATCATTAATCCCGTTAAAGGTTAATCTCGTTCATGGACCGGACTCACACAATTGGGCCATGGTCGGGTTCCATGGTACCATCACGAGCCCCCTAATCTCCAAAATCAGCGATGCTGGATTTTGGGAGAGTATTCGGAATGACCAATTTCAATTTTGGAATCTTTTGAGGAGGATTGCCGTGCCGTTTGCATTAAATGTGCCCGACTTGACATAGGCCTGCCATTCAGTTCAGTTCCCGAGCCGACTTACCATCTTCAATACCCAAGTGTCACCATTGCGGTTCCTAAGCGGTTTCGAAACTGTTCCCGAGCCCTAATTTTCGGCTATTTAAACGCTCATCGTCTTTCATTGCATTCTTTCGCAACTTTCCTCCCGCTTTGGCATTCGATTTCTCGGTTGGGAGCTCTAAACCGCGCGACTCTTTTCCTCGTCTTCAAGCTTCATCAGGTTATTTCCCTTGATGTCTTCTTCAAGTTCCGTCCCACTGCACCACGTCTTTCCTGAGGCAGGGGCCTCTTCTGAACGGCCCCGTATTCCGGTAGATCCGGATGGGAGGGAGACTCAGTTCTTCCTCTCTTGTGAGTATGCCCGGCAAGTTCTGGCCGTGGCTCTGTCTGATGCTGAATTCGGTGAAGCCGTGGTCTTAGCGGGCCCAAGCGTTGTCTGCTCCCGCCCCATCCCTGGGCAGAATATTGTTGATTCTCCTTCCCCTCTTCACTTTGGAGTTCATATAGCTAAACTGCAAGTAGGTCTCCGATTCCCCCTTCATTCTGCTGTCCCGAGCGTCATGGGTTACTATGGCGTGATCCCTGACCAATTTTCCCCAACCACCCACATGTTCATTGCCGGGTTCCTTGCCCGATGCCTGCACCTAGGTATTCGCCCTTTCATTGACATCTTCCTTCACTTCTTCCATTCTGTACGACCTGGCGGTTCTGAGTCCCCAGGATACCTCTCAATCTCCCAACGGGCTGGTCATCGTTTATTCGAGGCCAGGTCTTATCCCGACTCTTTCAAGGGTTGGAGGCCGAAATGGGTATGGGTTACCCCCGTGGATGGAAGGTTGCAGTTTGAGAACAAGTGGGGGGAGGTAATTCGGAAATGGGCCATGCCTTTTCTGTCAGAGGGCAATAAGGATGCCGCTAAGCTGATCGTTGATGGTGCACCATTCTTGATGGGCCATTACGTAGGTGAGGACGGAGTAGTTATTCTTACCTTTCTGCCAGGTCGGCTCTGTCTGAGTTGGCATTCATATTTTTTTTTCTTTTTTTCTTTTTTTTTTTTGAGTATCCCCTTTTCTGACTTGACCTGTGTTTGATTTCAGAGGGTGAAAAGATGGCCACCCGGTTGGAACGACTTACAGCGAAGGCTGGTGC